GTAACAAAAATAAGCTAGTTTAAAATCTCTTTAAATGGCTTTGTTAATTTAAATCCTGCTTTTCAATTAAAACAAATGAACACACCTCATTTGTGGTCAAGCATTGCATATATACAGGCAGTCCTTGACTTAGAACCATTTGTTTAGTGGCTGTTGGAAGTTACAATGGCACAAAAAAGTGACATGATAATTTTGTACGTGTTGCAGCATCTCTATAGTCACATGATCAACTGGCATGTATTTATGACGATTGAAATGTCCCAGGATCATGTGATCACCTTTTGTGATCTTCTGACAAGCAGAGTGAATGGCGAAGTCAGGTTCACTTAACAACAATTCCAGTGATTCACTTAACAACAGTGGCAAGAAAGATCATAAAATGGAGCAAAACTCGCATAACTTAGCAATGGAAATTTTGGGCTTAATTGTCCTAGCTTAATTGGGATTAATAAATCAAGGACTACCTCTAAATCAATACATTGTCCACTTCAAAGGCATTTAGGCTGTCATAAAAATGGAACCAGCAGTCTTCTGTAATGCCATCCTTCTCAGCTTTTGCTTATAAAATAAATGCAACCAGCATTCAAAGAATTGTTTTTGTTAGACTTGATTTGCAGTAGCTTGATTTGCAGTGATTATGGTATTTGAAGATAGCATTACATTTTTAAGCATCTGAGCAGGGTGCTTTTGAAGCCCACATTACTCCTGATGGACCAGTAGGGTATTATGGACAAACATGATATGACAATTGATGAAGCAATAATGAAAGCATTTGAAAATTCCATCTTTAATGTAGGAAATCAGAATATCTTAGTAAATGTAGCCGGTTTCTTAACAAAGACTATGACTGACAACAAGGTAGAGCAAGCTTAAGAAGATAAAAGGAAGGAAATCCCTAGGACCAGACAGGAAACTTTACCAAGCATTTTAAATATTTAGCAATACTAGAAATCTGCTTCTAATGAGACAGAGGTTGCCAGACACATGTCAAGACAATACTCATTTTTAAGCACTTTGAAGAACATTTGGGAATATGGAAAATCTAAATGCACCAGTTGAAAAATGGCATTAAGAGAGGAAAGAAGAAAAGGTAATTTTAGGTCAATGTTATAAACGATAATAGCTATCACTCAACTTGCTTTTAAAGCAATGAAAGGTACAATTAAAGTTTCAATCATTTATTAAATCTGTACCCATGAAATTAGTATGCTTCTTTTTCTGAATAGCTTCTATTCACTTATCCCTGAAAACAATTATTTATTATAAGCTTCCTTTGGGCCCAATATGACCATCAAAGTAACTGAACATTCTGAAGTATTTGCAGTGTCAAAACAAAATTCAGCAGTGGAAGCCATAATCTTCTTCAAAAATTACTTTTCAGTTCAATGTTAAATTATATTCAATATTACTTGAAAGTCTCCTTTTAAACAAATGCCACTACAGGAAATCAACAGAAAAAACCTGCCCTGTATTTCTGCCAGATTTATCTCTCTTGTTGACACAATACTGACCAGAGATGCTAAAATGAATGTTAAGGAATTTAAAGGATGTGACCACATACTTTTCAGAATTTCAGAGCTAAGGTTAACAGTACAGATTTATATGAATAGAAATTATAATGGATTTGTTCAGACTCTTAAATATGTCACTGTAAGTTACGTTTTTGTTTATGTGGTGGCTAGTAAACTATGGTTTATGCTGAGCACTGTATGTATCAAACACTGTGCTTTGTTTAACAAACCACGATTTAAACAAACAAAAGCTTGCTATATTGTGTGACACCATACTATACATACTGTACTGTATGCTGCTTAAGTATCTCTGTATAGTTTTTTCTTTGCTGTAATGATTTCAGTCTGACTATCCTCTATTATCCTCAGTGAATGCAAACCTCTCTGTCTCATTCTTGCTCATGAAAACTTCATCTGGTTATTCTAGTAACTACAACCTGGTTCCCAATCAGCAGTGGGTTTCACATTTTGTAGGCCTCCCCCCCCCACGCGCCCGCCCACTTTGTGCATGTGCCCAGTCTTCCACGCATGTGCTTTGTTCGCACACGCCTTCAGTGTGTGGGCCCAGCCTTAAAAACATGCCTAAATAGGATGGCATAGAGCTGTGGCATATGGGGCCACCTGTAATTTCCACTACCGGTTTGGATGAACTGGTCTGAACCGGCTGAATATCATCTCTGTTCCCAATACATAGAAAACAGAACAAAGCAATAGCAATAGCAGTTAGACTTATATACCGCTTCATAGGGCTTTCAGCCCTCTCTAAGCCATTTACAGAGTCAGCATATCGCCCCCACAGTC